AGAATTTTTTCTTCATCCCAGAGACACTGTTCCCATTAAATAGTAACTCCTCACTACCTTCTTTCCACCCCCAGTCACTGATATTTTGCTTTGTCTCAGTGAATATGCCTTGCTGAGTCATTTCAGTCATGTCTGACTCTTCTCAACCGTATGGGCTGTAGCCCACCAGGTTCCTCTTATCCATGGGATTCTCCAGGCAAGAATACTGGAGTGGGTTGCCATGCCCTCCTCCAGGGGGAATATGCCTTAGGTAACTCATATAAGTGGAACTGTAATATATTTGTCCTTCTCTATCTGACTGACTTCATTTAGTCTGGTTGTTTTAAAGAATCATCCATATCTCATTGGATTTTGAGGCAGGCATGGCTGCGAGTACATAAAGTTGGGTCAGTAAAGTCAAGAGTGGGCAAGGAAAATTTAATCAGAGTTATCAAGCCATCTGTTGGGAACAATTGCTTACCTCAGACATTCAAATATCTGGTTCTGGTTTCTCACAAGTTGCAGTGTACCCATTTATGCCATTATAATAAAGGGGAAATTATTTGAACTGATTTAGTTATTTGTATAACCATCATTTGAAGAAGCCACGCTAATGATGGCACCCCAATTTCCAACCAGCACCAGGTTGTTGAATTTTGTCATTTTGTCATTCCCTCAGTGCTCATAAATATAATTTCTCTCAAAACTTAGAACAGTATACTGTATTAACACACATTCGTACATTTTGCTGTGTACTTTCCTGAAGTATTTTTTTTTACCTAGGTGTATAATTAGTTGATTTTTTACCTTTTGCAACTCCTCATGGTATTCTCAATCATACTCTCACTATGAGGTGTTGATCAAGTTACCCAGGACATTGTTATTGTGGAATTAGGGCTTAACTTTTTGGTGTTCATTCAACTTTCCAGTCAGTCCATCTGGGGGTATTTTTCAGAGGTAAACCACTTCAGAAATAACACATGTCAAAATAAGAAATCTTTGGGGAACCTGCAGCTAATGAATGTTTCTTTGTGCTATAATATGTTTCATATCTGAAGCTGTTAAAAGAGAATTAAGAGGATATGGAGAAATTGGAGCCCTCGTACTCTGCTAGTGGTAATGTAAAAATGGTGCAGCCACTTTGGAAAAACAACCTAACAATTCTTCAAAATGTTAAAGAGAGAGTTACCATCAGCTCAGTTCAGTTCAGTTGCTCAGTCGTGTCTGACTCTTTGCGACCCCATGAATCGCAGCACGGCAGGCCTCCCTGTCCATCACCAACTCCCGGAGTTTACCCAAAGTCATGTACATCGAGTCAGTAGTGCCATCCAGCCATCTCATCCTCTGTTGTCCCCTTCTCCTCCTGCTCCCAATCCCTCCCAGCATCAGGGTCTTTTCCAATGAGTCAACTCTTCGCATGAGGTGGCCAAAGTATTGGAGTTTCAGCCTCAGCATCAGTCCTTCCAATGAACACTCAGGACTGATCTCCTTTAGGATGGACTGGTTGGATCTCCTTGCAGGCCAAGGGACTCTCAAGAGTCTTCCTCAGCACCACAGTTCAAAAGCATCAATTCTTCGGCACTCAACTTTCTTCACAGTCCAGCTCTCACATCCATACATGACCACTGGAAAAACCATAGCCTTGACGAGACAGACCTTTGTTGGCAAAGTGATGTCTCTGCTTTTTAATATGCTATCTAGGTTGGTCATAACTTTCCTTCCAAGGAGCAAGCATCTTTTAATTTCATGGCTGCAGTCATCATCTGCAGTGCTTTTGGAGCCCCAAAAAATAAAATCTGACACTGTTTCCACTGTTTCCCCATCCATTTCCCGTGAGGTGATGGGACCAGATGCCATGATCTTAGTTTTCTGAATTAGAGCTTTAAGCCAACTTTTTCACTCTCCTCTTTCACTTTCATTAAGAGGCTCTTTAGTTCCGCTTCGCTTTCTGCCATAAGAGTGGTGTCATCTGCATATCTGAGGTTATTGATATTTCTCCCGGCCATCTTGATTCCAGCTTCTGCTTTCTCCAGCCCAGCATTTCTCATGATGTACTCTGCGTATAGGTTAAATCAGCAGGGTGACAATATACAGCCTTGACGTACTCCTTTTCCTATTTGGAACCAGTCTTTTGTTCCATGTCCAGTTCTAACTGTTGCTTCCTGACCTGCATACAGGTTTCTCAAATGGCAGGTCAGGTGGTCTGGTATTCCCATCTCTTGAAGAATTTTCCACAAGTTTATCGTGATCCACACAGTCAAAGGCTTTGGCATAGTTAATAAAGCAGAAATTGATGTTTTTCTGCAACTCTCTTGCTTTTTCGATGATCCAGCGGATGTTGGCAATTTGATCTCTGGTTCCTCTGCCTTTTCTAAAACCAGCTTGAACATCTGGAAGTTCACAGTTCACGTATTGCTGAAGCCTGGCTTGGAGAATTTTGAGCATTACTTTACTAGCATGTGAGATGAGTGCAATTGTGCGGTTGTTCCAGCATTCTTTGGCATTGCCCTTCTTTGGGATTGGAATGAAAACTGACCTTTTCTAGTCTTGTGGCCACTGCTGAGTTTTCCAAATTTGCTGGCTTATTGAGTGCAGCACTTTCATAGCATCATCTTTCAGGATTTGAAATAGCTCAACTGGAATTCCATCACCTCCACTAGCTTTGTTCATAGTGGTGCTTTCTAAGGCCCACTTGACTTCACATTCCAGGATGTCTGGCTCTAGGTGAGTGATCACTCCATCGTGATTATCTGGGTGGTGAAGATCTTTTTTGTACAGTTCTTCTGTGTATTCTTGCCACCTCTTCTTAATATCTTCTGCTTCTGTTAGATCCATACCATTTCTGTCCTTTATCGAGCCCATCTTTGCTTGAAATGTTCCCTTGGTATCTCTAATTTTCTTGAAGAGATCTCTAGTCTTTCCCATTCTGTTGTTTTCTTCTATTTCTTTGCATTGATCGCTGAGGAAGGCTTTCTTATCTCTCCTTTCTATTCTTTGGAACTTTGCATTCAAATGGGAATATCTTTCCTTTTCGCTTCTCTTGTTTTCACAGCTGTTTGTAAGACCTTCTCAGACAGCCATTTTGCTTTTTCGTGTTTCTTTTCCATGGGGATGGTCTTGATCCATAGGACCCAGCAATTCTACTTGTTGGTATATGTTCAAGAGAATTGAAGACATGTCCGTAGAGAAATGTGTGTATAGAGGTCATAGCAGTATTCATAATAGTAAAAAGTAGGGGACTTCCTTAGTGGGCCAGGGGCTGAGACTCTGTGCTTCCACTGCAGGGGCCATGAGTTCTGTCTCTGACCACGGAATTAGGATACTGCATACCGCACAGGGCGGCCAAAAAAATTAAAAAGTGGAGGAAAGACCCAAATGTTTATCAATTGGTAAATGAATAAACAAAATATATATCCATACAATGGAATATCATTAGACCATAAAAAATATGAAGCAGTGATATATGCTACTTGAATGAACCTTAAAAACATAATGGTGAGTGAAAGAAGTCAGTCATAAGAGACTACATATTGTATGATTCCATTTATATAAACATCCAAAATAGGCAAATTTAGAGATAAATTCAATTAGTGAAGTACAGAGGTAAAGGGGGAAGAGAGTGACTGCCAGTGGGTATGGGTTTTTTTTTAAGGAGGAGATAATGAAAATATTCTAATACTGATTGTGCTGATCATTGCACAACTGTGGGTATACTAAAAACCACTTGATTATACACTTTAAATAGGTGAACTGTATGAAATGTCAATTATTTCTCAATAAGGGTGTTCTTTGAAAAAGAGAAAGAGAGTTAAGAAACATTACCTGAAAATTCAGAGGTCTGAATTCTGACTTTTCTCTGTTCTCCAAAAGGTCTGTTTCCTTTTGTTGGAAATTCTTTTGTTGGTTACTGCTTTTCCTCATTATAACTAGAAGCGTTACATTTTACTCTGCACTACAGGAAGGAAGATGCTGCAAGCACATACATACTTTTCTCTGTAAGAGCACCAATTAACATTGGTAATCTGCTCTGTCCTACAAAGCTGAATCTTATATCTTACGTGTGAAAGTTATATCCTGAGGGTATAGAAATTAAATTTTACTGAACCCTTTTCTGAGTGCCCACTTTTACAGATGAAATTGAGATTTGGGGAGGTAAAGTAACTTTTAAAATATTTGACCTGTAAAAGTAAATAGCAGTTTGAACTGTGTTTTGATGCATCAAAAAATTTTCTTTCCAGTGTCACATTGCTGTTTCCTACCAGGAAGGTAACCCTGGATTTAAAAGTGTTGGAGAAATTTTGCAGCTAGATTTTGTTAGTGTAACAATTCAAAATAAGAAGGGAAAATCATACTTAGCTTGCCTGTAATAATTTTGCTGTGAGAGTAACAAACATAGTACCTTTTATCTTCCTGTGTGCCTGAGTTCTTTGCTGAACAAAGTATCTTAAGATACTCAATCTATATAGGATTGAGGGCAAATAACAATGGTACCCTCTGACCGTTGCTGTATCCAGACAACTGAGGATTCCTGTTAGGTGCCCTTTGTCTAATTAATCTTTCTTATGTTTCTCCATCAGTAAAAATGTCTAGTTAAAGATATGCATGGGTGACCTAAGGAACCTCCCATTCATAAAAGAGTCTTTTCCAGGAGAAGAATTTGGCATGAGAGTTAAAACCAAAGCATCTGACTTTGAGCATGCATACACAAAAGGCCAGTCACAAAAGAATGTTTACTTTTTTCAGAGATGTAGGCTCTTAATGGATTATTTCAGTGAGTATGGTCTTTGGTTTCAGACATCTATACAGTAAGAACCTCGATGACTGGAAGGCATTTGAAGGTTTACTTTCACTGCTGAGGTTGAGATGATACCTCTTTTAATACAGATCATCTAGGAAGTTAATAGGGTAGAACGTTAGCTCCGTTAACTTTAACCTTCCATTTATATGCCTGTGATTCTTCTTTCCTTATGGACTATTTAAGGGACTTTATTCTGATTGCACTCGAATGTTTCTTTCCATAGGATGGATAGAATGACAGAGGATGCTCTTCGCCTGAATCTGTTGAAGCGGAGCTTGGATCCAGCTGATGAGCGAGATGATGTCCTGGCTAAACGACTCAAAATGGAGGGGCATGAGGCCATGGAACGTCTGAAAATGTTGGCACTGCTCAAACGAAAGGATTTGGCAAATCTTGAGGTGCCACATGAGTTACCCACTAAACAAGATGGCAGTGGTGTCAAGGGCTATGAAGAGAAGCTTAATGGGAATCTCAGGCCTCATGGAGACAACAGGACTGCTGGAAGGCCAGGCAAAGAAAACATCAATGATGAACCTGTAGATATGAGTGCTAGACGGAGGTATGGCTTGATTCAGCTGCCTCCATAGTTAAGATCTTCTCATAAACTAAGCCTATGAAAAAGGAATGAATTCCAATGAGAGAAAGGGGTATTTCTTCCTAAAGCTTTTTGAATGAAGGTGTATCTGTGCCATCTGGCTTGACCATGAATTCCTCTTGTTTCCAAATGAAAATAAGTGCCTCTAAAAATTATTATCCTTAAGATAAAGTAGCTGTTTCTGGATCAAGGAGGCTGTAAGAGTTGGTACCCCAATTAGAATTGAGTTAATATACTTTCACTCTAATCTTAGGCCATTTTAGGAGGCAAAAGCAGTCATTTCTTCAGATCACCCCAGGAGTTTTGAGATCTGTTGATTATGAATACCCAGCTTTTATTACCTCAGAGAGTATGGTCCTCTCTTGTGTGTTCTCTCTTCTTCATGTGCTGATCGTCTGCATTTTTTACTTCATTTGTGCCACATTCCCCAAACCCCAAATATGCATACACATTCACTTACACAAGTACACTCATGCTTGTGCTCTCTCTCTCACGTACACATGACAAGAAAGAAAAAAAAAGGAATGGTTATAATCTTACTTAGGTTTCTTTCTCTACCTTTTCATGTTAACTTATTAGTATTGTCCCAGAGTTATTTTTTTAAATCACACCCAGTAGGGGAACAGTATTCTTGGTAATAGCATTAAAAACCCTTAGGAAACATCAGAAAAGTTATGTAGAGGTTGTGAAAGAAGAGAAAAATTCTTGGGAGCAATATGTAGTATCAGCAAAGTATTACAGACTAATCCTTAGACATTTTTAGAAAAAAAGAAAAGTGGATGAATGAGATAATGCACCTGAGTAATCCACTTGCCCCGTAATCACCGTTAGCCTTCTGGAGTAAATGACTAATCCCCCTTCACTGGGGTCAATGAAGAGGAGAAATGTTAGGTGGATTCCTTACATCCAAATTTGGAACTGAAAATGTATTTTTCATAAAAACATTGTTACACATTTTGGTAAGATCTCAGTGGTGTTGGAATTGAACTATATCACAGAGAAATTCTGTTGAAAGTTAGACTACCCTGAAAACTCTCCATTGCATTTAATTTTATAAGAGGATTGAACTTTTGAAACTTGATTCTTTGGAAACTGGGAACTGTTCTTAATGTTCTTCAGGAAAAGAGGCTTGATGTAAACCATCTAGCTCCCCATTCTGCATGAAAAAAATAGGCCCTGTCTGCCCTGTCGCTCGTCTTCCCTTTCACCAGACCAGATACACTGACAGCTATTTCCACTTAGCCTCAAGCTTTTTGTAAGAAGAAAGAAGATTGATAGATTGCTCAGCATGGAGAACAATGGTTTCTTTGATGTGGATAAAGGGAGGAGGGACTTTAAAAGCAGAAAGAAGGAAGGGCTCTTTACATGATAGCTATATCATAATTGCCTAAATATCTTTTTTTTTTTTGCCATCAGCTGTGCAAGTTATGGTATCTATGAAATAAGATATGCATGAAACCAGCACTGCTTATGTTTTGGAATGCTATCGAGAACACGGCAGTTCTGATTTTGTTTTTATTACCTGGATAAAGATTAGGAGTTTTATAGTTTCTGGGAATCTGCCAGTCCGAGTTACAAAGTGATATCAGCAGCAAGTCTGGCTTTTAATAATACCTAGTTGGTAGGTTGTTCATACCTAAGAACAGCAAGTATTGTAAATCATATGTATGTTTGGGAGAGTAGCAAAGTAACTTCTATCCCCAGAAAAGTTTTAATAAAAAGCCAGAGTTCCACGTCAAAAGTTAAAAAAAAAAAAACAAATTGAGGAATGAAACTTGACTTGGGCTTTTCCTTACCTGTGCTGTTTATGTAATATGAGTCAGTTATATTTGGGAATAAAATATCATTTAGGGTTTTCTCAGATACAACTTCCTGATAAATGTCGCTCAATTCCAAAATCTTCATACTGTAATGTCTCTGCTTGTTCTGTTGCTGGATAATCCTTAAGTAATAAGTGGCACTCATTTGAGCAAGGAAGAATTCCTTAGGTTAGAAATAATCTGTGAGGTGTGTATCCAGCCAGGTCAGGATAGAAAGAGCTTCTGACTGTTGATGTAAACATTGGGGAATCATATAGAAGAAAGAGAAACCTACCAGACCTCAAAGTTGTTTACTCATGTTAGGGATGGGGGTGGGGCATGAAGGAATATAAAAACTTAAATAAAAATGCAGTTTGTTTAGGCCTGACCATTACTCCAGGAACTGGGGGTTAAAGGATAAAAGGTTCTTTTCTCCCTTTAGTGACTTCTTTTTTCTGTAACCCTACACTTTCAGCTTGTGTCTGTGACCAGTGGCTATAAAGTGATGCAGACAAATTTAGTAATTCCCAAGATAGTTACTATTATCATTGTCTTTCTATTTTATTTCCTCAGCTAAACTTGGTTGTTTTAGTAACCTCAGTTTTACCCTGTTGAGGAATTGAATGCCTGTCCCAACCATCCAAGGTACCTTGTTCAAAAGGCCTCCAAGTCCCAATGGCATCTGAGACAAGACCCCCTGAGAAATGGTCAAGAGGTGCTCAGGACTAAAGATCTGTGGTTATAAAAGGCTTGAGTTACAAGTTTAAGTAAGACCTAAGAACACATTGTTTTAGACCTACACACTCCTGACTACACTGTAGATTTCAAGAAAGTAGTCAACGAAGATATCTGAGTTAAGAAATCAAGAGAGAATTATAGGATATGGTCATTGACGTGGGAACCTCAGGCAGTTAGAATTCATAGGATTCTTGTTATCTAAGTGTTAAAAAGTGATTGAGTGCCATTTTTTATTTTAGAGGGACAAGATGCTCTTTTTTTTTCTTTCTTTTTTTTTTTTTTGACAAGATGCTTTTAAGACTAGCCCAAGAAAGATCAAAACTAGAGTTGTCATTTAATAACTATGATTGGCCATAGGGCATAGCTGGTGTGAAAGGTTTAGATCAGAGTCATTTCGAGATATTTTTTTTTCTGAGGGAAGATGGTAAGTAGAACTTGCAATTAGGTACAAGACCCATACATTTAATTGTGGAGTTTTAATCCTCCAGAAGGCTGTAGACATTATACTTAGCACTGTCCATTCTCTTAAGCCACTGACAACAGTACCAACAGTACCTTCTTTTGGCCTAAACCCTTGGCAGGATAGACTTCACTGGAGTTGCCATATAACCTCCTTTCTTGTAAATCTTCAGATAGCCAGGATCATCATCTTATCAGTATCATCATATTGATAAAATGCCTCCTTGGCAATGTGTCCTCTGTACTGGGGTGGACAAGTAGGCTCTACTGCCTTTGCCTTTCTTCCCCTGTCAGGCTAACCATTTCCTTCTTGAACCTCAAGACAACCCAAAAGGAGACTGAGATATAAGGAAAGCACTTGGAATTTTGATTAAAATTGGTATGATAAAAACACTTATCTCTTACTTTCATTCCTAAAGCCATTCAGTGTCTTTCTGTTTGCATCCTCTGTAAGGAATTTAGATGGAAAAAGTTCTTTTTGCTATGGTTTTGTCAACACTTCCATTTTGGTTTCTTCTTTATCCTTTGATTTGGATGTTTCTGTCTTCCCTGGGTGAATCAGAACAGACTTAAGTTTCCTTGGATTTCTTTGTTCAGTGTAGAAAAGTTTTCGTAACTTTTCTATGAACTTTGTTGGAAATACCTTAATTTTTCCTTTTCTTGTCCAGTGAACCAGACCGAGGAAGGCTAACTCCCTCCCCAGACATCATTGTTTTGTCTGATAATGAGGCTTCCAGCCCCCGTTCCAGCTCCCGAATGGAAGAAAGACTCAAAGCAGCCAACCTAGAGATGTTTAAGGTAAAAAAAATAGATTCCTTTCATCATTTCTTGCTTCTACTATTCTTTTTAATTCCCTGAGAGTCCCATTTCTGTTTTTCTTTTAGTGTTTACTTTTTGGATCTAAATAACTACAAGTGGAGAAGAAAATTTGAAAAAGCATATTCAGTGTAGTTTATCTTTGGAAAATGAAAACTTCATAGTTCAGATCATGTAAACTCAACTTTTAACTAGAAATACCTTCTATACTGTATCCTGGGTCTCAGAATATGGAGGAATTCCTAAGTTTTTATGTATTTCTGGAGAGACACGAGTTTAAAAGATTAAGGAACATTATTTTCAAGAAAAGCAATATCTCCCTTTGGCCATTCTTCTGCCAGGAATCTGTTTAGCATTTATATATGATCTCTTCTTTCATTCTGTAAGCTATTTTTGAGTACCTAATGAATACCAGGCACTGTGCCAGACTGTGCTAGGAACACAAAGGTAACAGTTCCATTGCACCTGTGCTGCTTGTGGAAGATGAAGGTTCTGACCTAGAAGAACAGGTCACCTTGCAGGGGTGGGCTCTGAGTGCCTACTGCTGTAGCTGATCGTCTCCATGCTTCCTCAGGGGAAAGGCATTGAAGAACGGCAGCAGCTCATCAAGCAGCTGAGAGATGAGCTGCGATTGGAAGAAGCCCGACTGGTGCTGTTAAAGAAACTGAGACAGAGTCAGCTACAGAAAGAGAATGTGGTTCAGAAGGTACTGTGCCCAAGAAATAAAGGACTAGCAGAAAGCAAAGAAAAACTGAGAATGGGCTACCCCAGGTAGATTCAGCAGGGTGGCTCATTCTTCTCTGGTCCCCTGGGTTTTAGTCTCTAGGAATAATGTTATTTTTTTATTTGGGGCCTTAATCAAGAAAACTGTGATTCTATTTTTTCATTTTCCCTTCTGCTCAACAGGAGCTTCAGACTGACAAGGAGTTTTGAAAGTCTAGTACCATTTTCTACCTCTGATTACTAGCCTTTTCCACTGTCTCATTTTCTCCTCTCTCCCAGACTCCAGTTGTACAAAATGCAGCATCTATTGTTCAGCCATCTCCTGCCCATGTGGGACAGCAAGGCCTGTCCAAGCTTCCCTCTCGGCCTGGGGCCCAAGGGGTTGAACAGAATTTGAGAACATTACAGGTATGTGACCCATAGTGTGATCTTAGTTTCAGGGAACTCTGTTATCCTATCTCAGTTTCGGGGCTTTTGTGAAGATCACAGCAAGAACCTGGCCTTGATAGACATGTCATTATTATCAATAGTCCTATTGGTCCTTAATGGCATGATTTAGTTTGCAGTAGAAGGATGAGTAACTGATCTTTCCACTGTAGTCTTTCTAATTCCTAGCCCTTTTCCATAGAGGGTTAAGATAGTTTATACCAAAAAAGCGAGGGAATTCCTAATTACTAATCAGTTTTTACAGTGATGACAGATTTATCCCATAGATCATTAGACAAAATTACCAAGTCTGACTGTATTTCTACTTAGCTATATATTATAGACAGTGTTTTCTGTTTGGCATTTTGTGAGGCATTTGCCACCTATGCCTGTATCTTCTCACACTTCAGGGTCACAGTGTCATCCGTTCAGCGACCAATACCACCCTCCCACACATGTTAATGTCTCAACGTGTGATTGCGCCAAACCCAGCCCAGCTACAGGGTCAGCGGGGCCCACCTAAGCCTGGCCTTGTACGCACCACAACACCCAATATGAATCCCACCATCAATTACCAACCGGTAAGAGGGAGCCCTAATGTGGAAACAGAAAAATCTTTTATTTGCTTTCCCTGTTGAAAAGGTCATAAATTTTAAGTTTTTGGACTAGGACAACAAAGGAAATTTTGGTGGGTTGACAGTGGTCCCAAAAGTGAAATCATGAGGAATTGTATGAATATAGCATGTGCGTGCTTAGTCACTAAGTCATGTCTGACTCTTTGCAACCCCACGGACTATAGCCCAGCAGGCTCATCTGTCCATGGAGTTTTCCAGGTAAGAATACTAGAGTGGGTTGCCATTTACTCCTCCAGGGGATCTTCCCAACCCAGGGATCAAACTCGAGTCTCCTCCATCTCCTACATTGGCAGGTGGGTTCTTTACCACTGAGCCACCTGGGAAGCCCACGTGAACATAGCAGTGGAGAAGAAGGGTTAGATGCAACAGAGCAGCAGTAAGCTAAAATATGTCTAGAAGAAAAAGCTGGAGGGGTCTAAGGAATAGGGAACATAAAGGACGTAAGACAAAGAATCCTGAATCTTTGCAGTTTTAGTTCATAGCCACTGTCATTCTCCTTTGCTGTGTGCCAAAATCCTTTTCCAGTGGAGAAGTTGGACACCTCATGTCATTTTCCAAGTTTGGGGGAAGCTGCGTAGGTCAGACTAGGATCAGATAGTGTTCTCTGCCATGAAAGTAAAAATTGGTTCTCTCTCCCACATATCATCACTGACCCCTACATTCAATCTGTTTCAGCAGTCAAGTTCTTCTGTTCCCTGTCAGCGCACAACATCCTCTGCCATCTATATGAATCTTGCCTCCCATATCCAGCCAGGGACCGTGAACAGAGTGTCCTCACCACTTCCTAGCCCCAGCGCCATGACAGATGCTGCCAACTCACAGGCTGCAGCCAAATTGGCTCTTCGCAAACAGCTGGAAAAGACACTCTTGGAGATTCCACCCCCTAAACCACCTGCTCCCTTGCTTCACTTCCTGCCTAGTGCAGCCAATAGCGAGTTCATCTACATGGTAGGCTTGGAGGAAGTTGTACAGAGTGTCATCGACAGCCAAGGTAAGGCTGTTTGTTGGCCAGTCTTTTTATCTAAGCAAGAGGTTGCCACACCTGATTAATATGGACAGAGTATCACATGGTACTGTGTAATATTAAATAACCTCTCCCTGACTTTTACCAAACCACTCCCATCCTTTATTCAGAGGCTGTTTAGGAACAGCATATCAAAAAGCTTTTTGTGTGTCTGTATGTCTTAGGCTTAATATTTTTATTGTGTATTTTGTATAGCTTGTCTATTTTTTTGTTTCCAGCATATCATTTAGCTCTTTTTTTTTTTAATTAATTATTTTTGGTCACACTGGGTCTTCATTGCTGCACAAGGACTATGTCTAGTGGCGGCAAGCAGGGATTGCTCTCTATTTGCAGTGTGCGGGCTGGAGCCCTTTGACTCTGACACACATTTTCTCATTATTGCATAATAGGAAATCAGAAAACTTGAGTTTTTATCATCCCAGTTTTGTCATTTGGAGCTATGTTTCTTAATTTCTTCATTTGTAAATAAGGATGGTACTAATTTCCTAAAGTGATACTTTGCAATCAAATGAAATGTAAATATTTTATAAATTACAGAGTCACTTTTTAAATTCAGCAGAGTAAACTCCTGGAAAAAGATTCATCTGATGAAGAGAAACAGAGGAGATAGAGAGGAAATGTGAAACCACTGATTATTGTTTTTGTTGGCATCTAGGGAAAAGCTGTGCCTCTCTTCTGCGGGTCGAACCCTTTGTTTGTGCCCAGTGCCGCACAGATTTCACCCCTCACTGGAAGCAGGAGAAGAATGGTAAGATTCTATGTGAGCAGTGTATGACCTCCAACCAGAAGAAGGCTCTAAAGGCAGAACACACCAACCGGCTGAAAAATGCTTTTGTTAAAGCCCTACAGCAGGAACAGGTAAGAGTTCTGACTTCTCACCAGCCGCCTGTCCAGGTTGGATTTTACCAAAAGGCAGTTCTTTCTAGTTTAGAGGAGTTTTCTGTGTGAAATCTACAGTCCGGGTGATCTAGGTTTCTGAAGCGAAGTTCCTTGAACCTAGAGGCCTGGGTTCCCTTTATACCCTTCTTACCATTCTGCCTCTCCCATTTCCATTTGACTACTTCTGATTGAGTAAGACTTTAATGACACATAATGTCTGAGGTTAAGGGAAAGGGACAAAAGGCTTGAGAATCTTGGTTTTCCCTGATAGCACTGTGGAAATTCCTCTGTTATTGACTTCATTTCCTCAAACAAATGGATTTTGGTGAAAAGGATTTACATTTGTACTAGAACTCTCTTTTAGAGAAGTAATTATCTGCAGTCCATATTTGACAAAGAAATGACAAAGGGAAGGGTAAATTATAAAGTAGCCCAGTGAAGATTAGTGATTGCTAGTGTGTGTGATTCTTCATACAGTATTAGTAGAATGAGAATATCTTGGAGCAGGGAAGATGTATTGGGAAGCTCAGATTATTTTCTGCCCCACCACCTATCGGACCCCTCTGGGTAGCATCATGGGTCTTCTAGAAAATGAGTAGACAGGAGTCAAAAATAAAACTTCAGTAACTCATTGGCCTTAATTAATTACATTAGTCAGCTCATCACCACCACCTAGAACTCCAGCCGACTTCTGAGAGCCAGCTTTCCTAGAGAGAGGGATTCCTTAAGCATTGAAGTATTGCGGTTACTGTACCCAGAGCTCTTAGTGCAACTACCCCACCAAACTCTTTTGCCTTTTCCATATCCCTCCAACTAGCTGGCAACATTAGAGATAAGAAGACCTCTAGGTTTTCTGGTTAGGAAATTGGGCACTGTCCTGCCCAACTTGACCTGATGACTCCCAACAGGAAATTGAACAGCGATTGCAGCAGCAGGCAGCCCTCTCCCCCACTACGGCTCCAGCTGTGTCCAGTGTCAGTAAACAGGAGACCATAATGAGACATCATACGCTTCGGCAGGTGAGGATTTCTCTTACAGTTTTGTCAGTCATTTATTCTAGTTTGTCCTTTGCTCTGTGGAAAATCATATTGCTCTTCTGTACTCCCATATTCTTTCCTTCTCCTTACACCTTCCATCATGGCAAAGTTATGATCACTTGTCTCCTCATCATTGCAGGCTCCACAGCCCCAAAGCAGCCTCCAGCGTGGTATACCCACATCTGCCCGTTCTATGCTTTCCAACTTTGCACAGGCACCCCAGCTGTCTGTGCCGGGTGGCCTCCTTGGTATGCCAGGTAAGAAGGGTTGATCTGAGAACTTTTCTCGGGAATTGACTAGCTAGTTTGCAGTTCTTTAGCGGCTCCTTTAGGTGATTGTTCTGTCTTTTGTTTTCTGCTCTGTCTTTAGGCCCTCCTCCCTTCACTCTGGTTATTCAGCAAATGTTTGCTAAATCCATAGTACATGCCAGGCACAGTACACTAAGGCTTTGGTGGTGAAAATGACATAGTCCTCTCTAGTGTGCCCTTTTGGTGGGCATGTGGTTATTGATCTCTTTTGGCCAGAATAGCAGTGTTAACTGTCCTGATCCTGGTTGAGTGACCTAGGGAAGTTTCTTCAAAGTCAGCTGCCCCTAAACCAAAGCTGATTCAATAATTCCCCTCTCTTTGTCTTGATTATTTTACTCTCACCACCGTTTTCTTTGACTCTTCTATACCATCAATACCATGTTGATTAGTCCTGGTAGGTTTGAAGTTTAGGAAAGACCTCTACCTAAAGCTTGGGAGCAGGGTGGGTAGTTGCTACTGAAATAAAGCTTAACTGAGACTGGACTGATGTAGACAACTTCTAATGTTCCCTCTGCATCTCCAAGACTGTAGCCTCAGGGTATTGCGGAAGAAGGTATTATTTCCTCTTTTAATACCTGCCCTCCACTTTTGTCTCCTGGGTCTAGGTGTCAACATTGCATACTTGAACACTGGTATTGGAGGACACAAAGCCCCCAGTCTGGCAGACCGACAGCGGGAATACCTTTTAGACATGATCCCTCCCCGGTCTATATCGCAGTCCATCAGTGGACAGAAATAACGCCTGTTCCACTTACACTGCCCGACCTTGAATCCTTTACCCCTCTCCTCTCCCATTGTCCCCAACTTCCGTCGCATGCAGTGCCTGTACTGGTGCCTACCATACACGGAAAACAAAACAGAAAAACAGAAGACAAAAAGTAGGAATCAACAAGAAAACACACGCCCTGCCCCGCCACCTCCCCTTTGTTTTACACAGCTGCGATCTCTTCTGCCACTTTCTCTCTTCAGTTTTAATAGTGAGGTGGATCTCTGCCTCTGATAGAGGTCAGAATGAGGTCCTGGGGAGAAATCTAAGCCCTTTGATGTGTGTTTCTAAAGTTTGTTTTTATGCTTTAATTATTATTATCATTTTTAATGATGTTGTGTGTCCTCCCTTTGTTTAGTGGACGGTTAAACCTTTTTATTTTCACCCAGTATTTTTTTCTCTTCTTTTTTCTTTTTTGTAAACACAAATGACATTCAGTTAAGTGATAGGAGCATTGCAGTAGGGTCCCCAGCTGCCAAGTAGGACATGACTGGGAGTGTTAGGGGCAAAAGTTTTTAATGCACTTAACCCAGGGTTGGGGGGAGGTGGTGGCATCAAACAAAGAGGAATAGCACACCAGCTGTGGGGTGTCTCTGAGCTGGACAGTTCAGAAGGCAGTGTTGAGTATTGAAGTTGGGCTCTAAGAATGAGGGGAAAGAGCCTGGAAGGAGAAGCTTTAAAACTTAACCACTCTAAAAGTGACCCATAAAGAAAAGAGAGAAAGGGGCATGACAGTGAACATAATGTTGAGCCAAGGAGGACTGAGACAAGGTCCTAGCCTTCTGGATGCTGGGTGAATGAGATTGGTCTCCTGACCCTACTGGAGACACAGAAGACTATTCCAGGCCAACTAGCCCCAAATTATTTCATCTTATTTTTTTGTAAAGTTCTCCCCCATCCCCATCTCTTTTCTTTTTTTAAAAATCCTAATCTGCCCTCAGTAACCACAGCCCCATCTGTAATATAGAGTGGCTGTTCCCAGCCTGACTTTGCTGGGTGTCCTGGAAGTTGGATGGGCATGAGTGAGTGAAATGTCAAAGGGAGGAAATAGAGGAAGAAAGAAAGAGGGGTTTCCCTCCCAACAGTTGCGACTTTCCCGTTTGTCTCTTTACCTTCTGAGCGCCAGGAGATGAGGGTGAGGGCACCTCATCAGGTTGGAGCCCTGCCCTGGCCCTGCTGCCCTAACTGCAGAGCCGACCGCTCACGGCTGAACAGTTCATGTCAGAACCAGTCCTGGGCCTGTGCTACGAAAGTGGTTGTTGTCTTCTTTTCTCCCCAGAATTCTATAAATTTTGCTTTCTTGTTTGTTTTTATTCTTAAGTGCTACTAATGTAGAGAATGAATTGAATTGTGCAATGTTGCTGTTCTGGGGATTGGGGAGATTAACATCCCATTTGCCCACACCATGGGGGATGGGGGAAGGGACCAGGTTGTTTTTGAGTAAGGGAAGCCCATTAAAGTTAGGGGTTTCTGCTCACTTCATAGTGTATGTCCACCTGCCTCTCCAGCTCTAATAAAAGCTGTCAGAGTTTGAGGAAGGGATACTCTCAGCAGAGAGGTGTGAAGAGCAGTGTTACATTTTGCCCTTGAAAGCCACCTGGAGAGGTTCCCCCGTTTTTATTTTTTAAAATTAAATAATTTTTTAAAGTAAGAAGGCACTTTTAAAATTAACACACACACAGACTGCACATCCTCCCCATAAAGTTTGGGGAGGGGATAGGAGGAGCTGGAATCAGGCTCAGTTCCCCCCACACTGGCCTCTACTCCCCATATTCCAGAGCCACTGTGGGTGATTATACTGGCCCTACGGGCCTTCCTGGCTTTTTTTCTTTCCTCCCTTTCCCCCAATTCATTGAGCACTTAATAAAGGAGCAGAGATGCAGCCTGTGTCTGGGCTCCCCAGTGGTGAAATGATCTGGAAGCTAGACGCTAGTAACAGGTAGTGATGGGGTCATTTCGAGTATTTTTCTGGGGAATGTGGAACCCCTGACTTAAGTGGTGGGAGAGGGAGGGGGGGTTAGTGGAACTGGGTCTGGGATTATTTTAAAATTATATATATATATATAAAGATATATTCTTACATCTTTCCTTTGCCCTCTGTGCTTTGAAAGCACTGGATAAATCGTTTGGTTTTGCTTTTCTCTCTTCCACGAAATTGGAAGCTTTTTAAAAAATATTTTCCCTGCAAGTCATCTTGCCTTGTGGCATGTCTGTCTAGCCTCCCTCCCCCCACCCCATGATGAAGTGCCATTTCTGTTATGTCTCCCCTCCCCCAGCTCAGAGGTGCTCAGAGGTACGAGGTGCCCAAGTTTGTCAGTTGAGATTAAAAGTAAGGAACAGAGAATGTGCAATACCGTCTGGCTGGGGGCTGTCCCTGCCCTGAGCTGAATCCCTTCCCTGGGAGCCAGGCCACCTTTGAATGGGGTTTGGAAGTAAGATGTGTAGAGATAGGGGATGATGGGGAAGGAAAGCCTGTAGTCGAGTGCCTGCCAAGGTGCTGAGGCGATAGGGGAGAGGGTGGAGTCTTCCCTGTTTTTATCCCCTCAGGGTCAGTTACATAGAGGCTGCTTGTTGACTAGTATAGCTCCGTGACCCTTTGCTCAATCGCTGAGATTTGATTTCTTACCCTCTCTTAGCCCCATTTTCATACCCTTCCCAGGGATTAGTGACGGGGGGGAGGGGGGGTGCGGTGAGGTTCCTCTAATCATGGTAAAGTATTAGCCTTCCACCTCCTCCCTTTTCCTCCCTCTCCCCCATCCTTCTGTCTTCCTCATTTCTCTACTTTTTCATCACTGATTGCCTTGTGTCCCTCCCAAGTCTGTTGTTGCTGTCCATCCCCAGGCCTTGGGCCCCATAGACACTAAACCTCATGCCCGAAAGATAGGAGGAAAGACCCTCTGTACAGAGTTATCCTTTACCCCTGGAGCACTGAAGCTCAGGGTGATACTAGAATGAGGATCCCACCAGTTTTGCCTGGCTTCCTCCATCACCAGAGGCTTTAAAAGTAGTAGTTTATGGACAGTGGCTTACTCTCTCTAAGCCTGATACAGGTGATTGAGCGGTAAGGCTTTGGTAAAACTGAGGGACAGAGGTCCTTATTTGTCTTTTTTTTTTTTTTCTTTCTTTTTCTTTTTGTCATTTGACCACAGCATCTGGACTTCTTTCATCCCTGGAATAAGTATTTTTTCCACATTTTTTGGATGTATGTATGGTAGACAATTTTTTTTTTTAAGACACAGAGATAAATGTTTTCCTGCTTTGGTTGCCTTTCCTTTCCCCTTTAAAAGGAATTAGCTATAGAACTGCTTTGTAAAGATGCTTCTTGATATTTTACTTTTGTTCCTTTTCCCTAACCTCTCCTTTTTCTCCCCACTTCTCCAGAAGGCATAACCTTCTCTCCACACCCCCTACCCCCTCCTCAGTCCTAGGCTCCCTTCCCCTCCAACAAGACCTTCATTAGCTTATGATATTTGCTGCCGAGATGTTATAACAAGGACTCATTCATGTATATAAGCTATTTCTTGATCCATTTAAAAGGAATTGTACATTGTGTAGAAAAAAAAAAAACTGAAAAAGAGGAAAAAAAAGCCCTAGCCATGGATATTGTGAAACTGTGTTATGTCATTTTGTAATGTGCCCGTTTGTGTATGATCCGTGCAAAAGGGTTTCTGGGGAAGGGGAGGGGGTAGGGAGGCAGGGCTGTGGAGGGTGGGGAGGGGAGTGGGCCGGGCCCAGCACACTGAGACTGGCAGCTGCTCCAACCCCATCCCTCCTTAGAGATGCCACCTCCCCCACCACCCACCCCTAATTTGTGCCTTGCCTCCCCACCCTGGAGTAGTCCCTCCGGGTCACCAGCACTGCCTTGGCAGAGCCCACTCCCTCCCCTAACCTGCCCACCCTCCCTACCCCCCAGCATTAGGTTGAGACTGTGGGGAAGTGCTGGGGGTTGGGAGGTAGCCGAGGAATGGGGCAGTTCCCGGGGGCATTGAAACCAAGTATTATTATGAATTGTAATTGTATTTGCACTGTTTTTTTTTCTCTGATTGCATCAGCATATATACAATATACCTATATAACAAAATTCAGTGTCAAGCTTTCTTATGCAAGGGATTTCCCCACCCCAAAAAAAGAACCTAGTTTCATGGGCCTTTGAGGGTGGATTGTCAGGGGATGATAGAAATAATTTAAACAAGTCATCCTAAGAACGTCTCCCTTAGGGGAGAGCCATATCCATCTGTACACAGTTTTAGGCTTTGTAAATTGGGGTGAGGCTGGGTTACTGCAAAAGCTAAGACTCCTAGTCCAGACTGTGGAGAGTAAAGAGAACCACAGCACAAAGGGGGTGGGATGGTGGCACAGCCTGGAGACCTGGGGTTTAGTCTCTAGCTTTCCTGCTGACTTGTTGCGTGACCTTTGGCGGAGCTAATTTTCGGGGTCTCCGTTTTATTTGTGAAGTGATGGCAGGCAGGGGAGATCCTCTAGCCACCAAGTTTATAAAGCTTCCTTCCCCACCTGAAAACAAAACAGCTTGAGGTGGGGAAAGTGTTGGGCTGAAAAACCAGGGAGGAAACCAAAGTAGCTAGTGTTGAAATGGGTATATGTGTGATAGTGCCCTTGGAGAGCTGCCAGGTCCCTGCTGTTCCTTCTGGTTTAGGAAACACAGCAGAGTGATGTTTAGAACCTCAGTTAAATCTGGGACATCTTTGCCCTCCTGCCTCTAGTTACCCAAGGGCAGGAACCAGGCCCTAAGCCCCACCTCACAAGCAATTGCCCTCAAGGGTGGTTGACCAATGAATACCCCAGGTTGGCAGTCACTCACGCCCTTTGTGAGCTACAGAATGCAGATCTTCCCCCATTTTTTGGTTGGAGAGCTCAGATATAGTCCACATCTTGTCTCCTTCCCTCAGATCTCATCTGAACCCCCTTAAAGGCAGCTCTCTCAACAGCTGTTTCCTTCAGGGGCCCAGTTTCCCCACAGCCTGGGCTGCGTACTCCCACTGTAGGTCCTTGGCCGGTAAAGCCTGGAGAAGGGTATAGGATGGTGGGTGAAGCCCTGGGGAAGGTGGAAGGATAGATTGGGGGTGGGGGGTGGGGAGCAGGGAGGTGGGATGGGGAATGGCCTTCTCTGAATGGGGTGGGTGGGAGGGGAACAAGACCCTTTTGCACAACTCTTTTAAGTTTCCTTTTTTTAAAAAAAAAAAAAAAACTCATTCTGATTTTCTGCATTGTGTTTGGGAATTAAAATGAAAAAACTAAGACCAATAGAAACTGGTTTTCAAAAAGGCAAATACACTCCCATCTGTTTCAGATGCTGCTGAGCATTTCAGCGGTGACAGATTCAAATAATAAGCTAATTTTTGGAGAAAGGATTAAAAGAAAAAAAAACTTTGTAATATTTATCACTTGCAAGCTATGTTTAATAAAGAAAGGAATGGTTTCTAAACTTTCCTGTGACTTGTGCTTTAGTTATGGTGGAGGGTGGGGATGGCAGTTTGGTGGGAGAAATTTTAGGGGCAATTTGGAGATTGGCTATGATTTATACTCCCTGCAGTCACTGGGGTACCTTTATAGTTTGTGTCCTTTCTTCAGTTTTGAGGATTTAAAGCCCTTACCTATTTGAGTATTCTTGTTCCTCTCACTTTTATGTAGATCCATGTTCTGGAAGCCACTGATATGACTTTAATTACCTGATAAGTTAAGGTCTAAAGGTATCCCGAAGGAGGCTGCATTTAACCCAGAGGCTGGACCTCCATCCTGTCCGAAGGAGAGGTGTACTCTAGTTGTCCTTGGCCCTTCTCACTATGCTGCTCTAGTCTCCAGTAACAGTTCTTCGTAGCATGCTGGTCTCTCCAGGGGGAACCTTAATACAGCCCACACTGTTCTTAGCAAGCTGCATAATATGTACTTCCTTAGTTGGAATGCAACATCCCCTGAAAGATCTGCAGCTGCTGTGTCCTACCATGTCACTCACCTCCACTCCCCCAAGTTCTCCTTTCAATCCAGAACATTAATCAGATCCTTATTTATTTTTTCCATCTTGGTTTATTTCCAGCAAAGCATTTAGACCAGGCCCACCCAGAGGAGAGGATGGTACTTCCTCAGGGAGCTGAAGTTTGGGGCTGTTCTTAACCTCTTGGTCCTCTGCCACATTGTTTAGTCAAAACAGCTTCTGCTCCTTGGGCGGTTGGGGAGGGGCAAGGCCCAGCCTTGCTGGAGTCTTGTCATTGGTACTAACATCTTTCTACAAGAGCACAGGGGAGACAGTGATTGGATCCCACCAAGACCAGCAGATTAAGAGCCTGGGGTTTTGGTTTTAGGGCATGGAAGGGCTGGACAAGGAGGGGGCAGGGGCCAGGACTGCCACAGGTCATCATGAGCAGAGTGGGAAAGACGTGCTCTTTGGACACCTAGAACGGAGGGGAATAGATGTGTAGGGTGTTCCACAGCCTCTGTGCTCATTCTACAAGGGATTCAAGGCCACCAAAACCTCAGTGCAAACTAATCGTTCTTTCAAAAACAGAAAAATGGAAAAATGTCGAGGGGTGCCTCCTGAAAGGAGGCCAATGCTTTGGATCTGGAAAGGTGGAGAGGGGCATTTGGTTGCTGAGAGAAGCAGTGCACGTGAGCTTAGATGTCCGAAATGCTTCTGGTGTCGGAACAAAGTGGCAAGGAACTCGGAGCCCCTTTGCCCACCTGCCTTTTTAAACAACCAGGAACGCAAAATGCCTGTCCCGGGTCAGACTCCAGCTTGGGCAGAGTCGAAACGTTTCAGACAGGAGGTTCAGGTTGGAGGATGAGTGCCCTGCCCCGCTTTCCCCTTCGGGGGAACCCTTAGAGCTATCTGTCTTTGGGGATCATGGATCCTTTGGATCATGAGGATATGTTCAGTGGGGTGTGAGGGAGGATTAACGGAGAGAACTCCCACCTGAGCATGGTTTAGTTTTAAGTTATCTGGTGTGTTGGGGATGACACAGATTCCCCCCTTTCTTGAGGAGAAGGGAGAAGTGGAAGTCATGTCCTCTTTTCTCTTCCTATGGTCAGGCTTGCCCCTCTCCACTGAAGGGGCTGAGGGACCTTTGGTTCCTTCCTGCCTCCAGGGTGGAAGGGAAAGGTGAAGTAGGTTCTTAGGTAGGGCTGCAGTTAGTGACATCCGGGAGGGAGCCAGTTTGGAGGGCCCTAGGCTAAGGGCAGCTGTTCCACGGTCACAGGAGGGGGAAGGCGGTGGTCAGGCATCAGACGCGGGGCCTCAAGCATACCACTCTTTCCTCCCCAGTCCCCCTCACTAGACTCCTCCTCACCTGGGTATTGAGTTCAGTCTTCCCTGGCTTCCCTCCACTCACAGCCTGGCTTCTGCAGCCCCCAGCTCCATCCCAGGCAGTCTGAGGCACTGCTTAGCACTCCTGTGACTCCTGTCTGCAGAAGAGGCTGCCCAGATGGAGAGGATGAGCACCATGACCTGTCTGGGGCTTCCCTCTGGCTTAGCGTCCATCAGCCCCAGCCTTTCATCCTGTTCTGTGCACCCGAGAGACAGGAGAAGCCAGACCCTTCCTTGTGCAGAGTCGCAGGAATCCAGCTCTGGCCCTTTCGCCGCCTGTCCTTTGCCCGGGGAGCCCCCGTGCTCTCTGCCCTGTTTCATGCAGCCACCAAGCCTCCTCCCGCTCCTAGTACCACACAACTGAGAAGAACTGGCCCTCGCTCGCTGCCTCAGTCTCCTCATTTGTAAAACAGCATAGTCATGGATAAAAGCCCTTCCCCACTCTTTGGACCTATGCCGCCATAGTGCAGACTGTCTTCCTAGCAGTTCTCCACATTAGCCATCCTTATCTATGTCTCCAGCCCAGGAGGAGACAGAGGAGGCAGATGATGAGGGCAGCCAGGCCCACGTGTATGCCCACCACAACCCCAGGCGGCGAGCTGCTCTCATCCTGGCTACAAGAGCGCCCAGCCTTGGACTCTGTGGATACAGTGCCATCTGTCAGAGGACCAAGGTAGAGGCAAAGCTCAGCCCCTCCTCCTCCTCGAAGACTGGCGGCCGCAGGTCCTATGGTAAGGGCCTGCTTGGACCCCAGGCCTGCCACCCTGCTACCAGATCCCACTCACCAGGGGTGGCCAGGGGCACATCGTGCCGAGAGACAACATGGGAACAGTGCTCGCCATCCCCATGGCCACTGAAGGCCTGGAGCTGGATCTCAGAGAGGGCCTCACTCAGATCTGTGTAGAGAAAGGAACTGACAGTGCTAGCCAGAAGCAGGGGCCCTTCAAAACGGGCAGCAGGCAGCTTGCGGTGAGAGAGATTGAAGCCTTGGATCAACCCCAGCTGGAGTGGCAGCTCCCACGAGGCCTGCACAGAGGTGACATTGAGCGTTTTGGTGGGGAAGCCGAGGGCAGCAGGGGCTGCAGAGGAAATGAGATGAGCTGGTTGGCAGTTCTGTTTGCCCAAGGCCAGGGGCTCTGCAGGGCTGGAGAAGCTGTTGCTCACGGCTGCCCATGCTGGAAGCGTGGATAGAGGCCGAGTCCTGGCTGGCACCCTCTGCTGAGTAGACCCGCACATGGATGGAATAGACCGTGGCAGGCTCCAGGTTGGAGAAGACGTGCTCAAAAGGTGCCTTTGCCCCCAGCCTCTTGGAGCTCTGGACCAGCTGGCTTGGAGAAGCAGAGAAGCTTGGCAACCAGCATCCCTCTCCCTTACTACAACCATCCCCCACCACCACAAAGTGGGCACAGAGCCCCAGCTAGGTCTCCAAGGAGAGAAGGGAGTGGGGGCTGCAGGAGCCAGGATGAGAAAGGCTGAGGATAAGAAGGGGGATGAAGAGCAAAAGGAAGTACCAGAGGTCCAGGCAGGTCTGGGCACCACTAAGAGTAAGAGAAACTTGACCAGGGACTCCTGTCCATCCACCCACACCCACCTCCCACTGGCCGGAGGTGCGACACAAACCTGATGATGTGTCCCCACTGGGGGGCAGTGGTTCCCGGGACACTCAAACGGCAGAGGTGGAGAGAGCCGCCGCCACGGGCAGGCCCTTGGGAACGGGATGGCTCTGGATACCGTCACAGCCAGGCAGGCACTGGCCTGGTTGGAGCCTGCCCTGTTCTCTGCCGTGTATTGGTAGATGGCCTCGTCCTCTGCGGATATCCGCACCAGGGAAAAGCAAACACAGCCACTGGGGCTCCTTCCCTCCGGGTCCCCTGCCCTGGTGGAGTGGCAAGACCCACAGACCAGCCCAGAAGCAGAAGGACCCACCACCCATATGCAGGTGTCACTTGTATGGAGCAGGCTGGGCAGAGCCTCCTGTGGGTGGAGTTAGCTGCAAGGGTTGTAGACAGTAAATGTAGGAAGAGAGTGTTGTATAAGGTGGGGGTGGATGCCTGGGGCAGCTGAGGGGACCTCAGCAGTTAGGCAGAGTGGAGGGGGTGGAACAGGCGTACCTCAGGTACCTGTTGTTGTAGGTCAGCCGAATGTCATCCCCAGGACTCAACCCCTTCCTATTCTTCAGCCAGACCAGCCAGGGCTCAGGGACACCCTGGGCTACACAGATGAAGATGGTGCTGCTGCCTGGAGGCTTGGACAAGGACTGTGGCCAGTGGACAAACTCGGAGGGAGCCAGGCAGGTGATGGCAGGTGGGAGGTGCCGTGAGGTCTGGCCTCTTACCCTCCTCCCGCTCCTCTCCTCATCCAGGTTCCCGTGGAGGGTGAGGTGACCCAGGACACTCCCTAGCTGGCCCTTGGGGTTCACCCTGCACAAACAGGATGCTCTGTGCTATCGTCGGATCTGAGTTCCGAGCTGATTGACTGACTGCGCAGACGTAGACTCTGGAGTGCTGGACCAACACTTCGGAGATCATGAGGTTCCCAGGGCCCAGGACTTGGATGCCCCCTACGCTGATGGAGCAGCCACCTGCGGGGAGACAACTGGTCAGAGCTGGAACGGTGCAAAGTGCTGGGGTCTCCGGAAGGCGGGACGGGGCAGGACGGCTACACACCCAGGTAGCTCCAGACCAGTGGCTGAGGGTGGCCTGTGGCAATGCATTCCAGCACTGCCCCCTTGGGTTCTGAGCTCCAGACAGGATCTCTGGCTCCTGTGGCAGCTGTGGGGATCCCACTGAGAGGCGGAAACAGAAAATTGAAGGATCAGGAAACAGAACTCTCCCCTTGAACCCAAGAGACACTTCCGCTCCCAGAGGCCCCTTCTAACCCTCAAGTGACCAGACCCCAGAGGTGTTGCCATTTTACTCCTAGATTACATATAAAGAAAATTACTTGCCCAAGGTCCTATGGCAGTAAATAGAAGTGTGTGTGTACATGTGTGCGCACTAAGTCATTTCAGCCATGTCCAACTCTTTGCAACTCTATGGACCATACCTGCCAGGTTTCTCTGTCCATGGGATTCTCCAGGCAAGAGTACTGGAGTGGGTTGCTGTGCCCTCCTCCAGGGGACCTTCCTGACCTAGGGATCGAACCCATGTCTTCCTGAGGCTCCTGCACTGCAGGTGAGTTCTTTACTAGGGAATCCCACAAATAGAGGTATACTTCATTTTATTGCGCTTCACAGATACTGCGGTGGTTTTTTTGTTTTGTAAACAAATCAAAAGCTTGTGGCAACCCTGCATTATCAGATGATGGTTAGCAATTTTAGAAATCAACTTTTTTATATGAGGTATGTACATTGTTTTATACATAATGCTATTTAATAGGATACAGTATAAACATGATTTTTATATGAACCGAGAAGCCAAACAATTCACATGACTCGCTTTATTGTGATAGTCACTGTAGTCTGGCACCAAGCCTGCAGTACCTCTGAGGTCAGCCTACATCAGAGCTCAGGATACTAAACTAAGCAGGCCCCAAGTTAAACTGGAGGGGTGGAGGGAGGAAAGGGTGTCAGCAGGGCCCCCGCCAGCACAGAGTGCCCCTGGAGGGCCTGCAGCAGTGTCAGAACATGAACTGACCAGGTAGGGAGGTAATGGCGGATACCCAGGGACCTAGTCCCCCTCCCTAAGTCACCCACAAAACTGGCAGGAGACCCTGCCCTTAGAAAGAGAGCCAGGCCCCGCCACCAAGTGAGCATGTCTCAGCTGCTCAAAAGGGATGCAAACATTTTCTGAAATAAACTGCTCTCTGGGGCTAACAGCATCTTCATTTTCTGGCACCCTCTCCCATCTTATTAAGTGAATCAGCGCGTCGTCACTGGGGGGCTGCCTTGTGTGAGGTGCTATTCTCACACTGGGAACACAGGTGTGAACAGCAAGGGACCAGGCCTTTGTCTTCCTTCATCCTGTCACCCCTATTCTTGTTTTGCTACTTTTTATTTTATGAGATTTTGTAGCATATTTATTTAACCTTTTCATAAATGTCCTTTATTAAAAATTTAGGAATTCCCTGGCAATCCATGGGTTAGAATTCTGTGCTACCACTGCAGGCTGTGGGGGGGGGGGGGGTCCTGAATTTGATCACTGGTTGGGGAACTAGGATCCCACAAGCCATAGCATGACAAAAACAAAAAAACTTCTCATACAAAGTTACATCTCAAAGTTTCTGGGCTTCCCTGGTGGTGCTAGTGGTAAAAAAAAAATCTGCCTGCCAATGTAGGAGACGCAAAAAATGTGGGTTTGATCCCTGGGTCAAGAAGATCCCCTGGAGTAGGAAATGGCAACCCACTCTAATATTCTTGCCTGGAAAATTCCATGGACAGAGGAGCCTGGCAGGCTACAGCCCATGGGGTTGCAAAGAGTCAGACCTGACCGAGCTCACACACACACACACACACCGGTGACTCAGCCGGCAGAAAATCCACCTCCCAATGCAGGGGACTTGTGTTTGACCCCTGGTCCGGGGAGATCCCACGTGCTGCAGAGCGACTGAGGCCATGCTCCATGACTGGTGAGCCTGTGCTCTAGAGCCCAGGAGCCGCAACTACTGAGCCCACATGCCAAAACTGAACACTCTAGAGCCTATGCTCCGCAGCAAGAGAACCCGCCACCACAAGTCTGTGCACTGCACTAGAGATTAGCCCCCGCTCACCACCACTAGAGAAGAGCCCACGCAGCAACGAAAACCCAGCATAGCCAAATATAATTTTTAAAAAAGCTCCTCAAGGACTGGTATACAGTCTTACACATCTTTAAATCTGGTTCAAGGTCTAGCATAGTATTTCATCCATTCTCCATTCAGCCCACCACCATAAACTGAGAGTCTACTTTGGATCAGGCACTCCTCAGTTTGCCGCCCAAAGCTCGAGCTCCAGCTGTGGACTGTCTTAAAATGTCCTGGCCTTGGCTGAGGAGGCAATGTTCCACCTGGGCAGGCCGTCTCGTGGGGCAGAGCTGGTCCATGTGACATCCATCCCTGGCTGGATGCCTCCGCATGCCAGGCTTTATACTGTGACCCACCATGCACCGTCCCCTTTAATCCTTACTACAAGCCTGTGGGGCCAGTGCTTTTAGTTCTCCAAGTTCACAGATGAGAAAACAGTGCCAGAGAGAGCAAGTGGCTTGTTCAACCCCAGAGGGCCTGGCAGAAGTGGAACGCAATCCTGGGTCTTGGAGGCACTGCTGACAGCATTCCCTCTGGGCACTGTGAGCTCCTTGAAAGTCTGGGAAATCCCGTGTCCGTGGTGCCTGCCCAGGGTAACGCCCACCCCAGGGAGTGGATGGCTGGGGCCTCGGTACCCAGCTCCTGTCTCCTGTCCCTGGGGGAATGTCTACACTGATCCCAGCTTCTTCTGTGAAATGTAGGCTATCATGTAACTCAGTCACCGGCTGATCCTCTGTGCCCAAAAAGCACCTGCTTGTCATCTGCCTAAAGCTCTCTGGCCATTCAGTCCCCTGCTTCTGCGGCCAGCAGGATGGAGGACCCCTGCCTGCCCAGTCACTTGGCCAGGAGCACTGATCATCATGGAAGCCTGGCATCCTGCCCTGCCCTCATGCCTGGGATGGCCGATGGGAACAGGAAGTGGAAAGCCACAGGAACCTCACCCCAGCTTCCCTCTGCTCTCAGGGAGGAGCCCCTGATCCCCACTCTTTGCTTTCAGTTTCTAAGTCAGCTCCAGATAAGAGACACCATAGATGTCCCCTTCCTCTTTCTGGCTTCAGTTTAAAAATTAAGCATCTTTTGGTAGAATTTTGCCTTGAGGCTTGCCCAAGGTTCACTTGTTATCTGTGCTGCGGGGGCCCCCTAGTGGGTAATTCAGGCATGCCATCCCCGCACACTCCGGTGGCCTCGGCTTCAGGCTGTGGCAGGAGTCTTACCTGTTTCCCACTGGGTATCATCTCTTCATAGGTTCTGCTGCAACCCTCATTTTGGGCACAAAACTCTCCCATCCCACGTGGCCTGTATTTCGGGTCATTTGGGGCATTTCATCTCAGGTAAAAGGCTATTTTCACCCAAAGGCGGAAACACACAAATGTGTGTGTATGCGTGCACACAAACACACATGCACTTACATCTGAGCACACCATGCACAAACACAAGTGTACCCAAGCATCCACTCCCAGCCGAGTCACAGGAGCCCCTAAACCCATCAAAAGGGCTCCCACTACTCTGGATCAAGTCCAGACTCCTTTCCACCATGGGAATCACCTACCTTTTCTACATCAATTTTTTGTTACCTTGAATTCTCCCCATTCTCTGGCCCAGCAACGTGGAATTGCCTGCATGAACTGCACTATTCTAACCCTTGTGCTTTTACATGAAGCAGTGCCACCCTCTCCATCCTCTTGACCTTGGCCTGCCTCTCCACTCACCCTTCTACCCTCAGCTTGGTATAGCTTTCTCTCAAGGCCCCTTACCAGCCCTTGCCCATAGCCCAAGGCTGGGTTAGAGGCCTCTGCCCTGGGTTCCCACAGCACTTCCCTGTCTACTCAGTTGCCAGCTCTGGGAAGCCATGATGGACTGACTGGGCCTCTTCCACCTGCTTACATCTGTATTCCCACACCCAGCACAGTCCTTATATGTAGCCAGCGCTCCAAGTATCTGTACCACATGCAACCACATCAGCCACACCCACTCCCTGTGGCGCCAGCTCCCACATCCTCCTCCGCCCAGTGCCTGCTCTGATCCCCCTGGTCCTCGCTTCCCTTTCAGCATCAGCCGCGCATCCTGGCTGTGGCGAGTATTGGCCACATTGTGAGCCACGCAGCAGTATGTGCCCAGGTCAGCCTGGCTCACGCGAGTGATGCGGAGGATGCCACCATCCTCCTGGCTGGGCACTGGCCCACAGCCTGTCAGCCTACCACACTCCTTACTGGTACTCACCTCTGGTCAGCAGTACTCAAGGTCATGCCATTGTGTTCCCAGGAACTGGAAGGCTCAGGCACTCCCCGGGTCATGCACTGGGAGCAGGTGACTCCACCCGGCTCCTCCTTGGCAGACTCTGGATGTTGACGGAAGCATGACGGGCCTAGGACCCAGGGACCACCTGAGCTCCCGGACGGCTGGCCCCCACCTCTGCCGCCAGCAACTCTGTCCCGGAGCCCCAGCTTCCCCTCCATGCCCACATTTGCCACTCCCCACTGACTGCCTTTTTGCACCCCTGCAGTCTTGCATCTGTGGTCTCTGGAGGCCATGAGCACTTTACCTTCATGACATTTAAAATTATGATTTACATTTGCATTGGTATCATCACAAATATAATCCAGAACTATAAAATAACAACTCACTATTATATATTCGTTATTCATTTTTTCTTCTGGTTTTAAAGAAATTATATTTAAAACAGGTTTGTGATCCCCTGAAAAGGCCCTCAGTGCATACTGTGTCTAATGGCCAAGTCAACACTGCCCAGGCCACCCTGGGCAATTCTGTGCCCTGTGGGCGCCATCTGTGGGTACCCCTATGCACTCATCCCCCATAACCCTCACAGGAGCAGCCTAGTCACTTACTTGCCAGTTGTATCTGGGCCCACGAGCACCAGGCAGTTCTGGGCCACACAGTGGGACTCGTGGGCACAGGAGGGGAGGCTCCAGCGAGAGGGCAGGCAGCCAGATGCAGGAGCGGTTGGGCATCAGGGTGGTGCTGCTGGCGTTGGTCAGGGCCAGTCTGTCCCACTGCCAGGAAATGGACATAGGTGGCTCACCCTCCACCTGGCCAGGCAGCACCAGCGGGCACTCCCGCACGAAGGCCAGCTCAGAGCCTGCAACGGGACCCGTGGGGACAGCAAGCCAGGCCTGGGCACACCAGCCTCCTGTAGCCCACCACCTCCCCTCAGTTTTGAGCCCCTCTCGGCTGGGTGAGGGGTAGGGAGGCAGGACTTTACTTTGGTGGGGGCCTTGGGGAAGCACACGAGGAGGGCCTGGCAGTCCAGTCCAAGGAGCAGGGCCGCCAATGTCCAGCTGGGCCACTGCAATTGATGGCCTCTTTCAGCCGGACCCTGGCAACAGGGAGGGTGCGGGGCGGGCACAGTGGCGAGGTCAGGGGCCCAGGCGTGGGCACTGTGCTCCCCAGGAGCCAATGGCATCACCTCCTCTCTCCCACACTGGCCCATCTGCCCGTCTGCCTGCAGGGTCAGCTTCCTGGGACTCCTGGCTCTCTTTTCCCACTGCCAAGATCCCAGCCCCTGAGTGGGGGAGGAGCGCAACTCACATAGTCACTCACTCACATATTCACTCACACCCATGTATTCACTCACACCCACATATTCACTCACATCCACATATTCACTCATACCCACATATTCACTCACACTCACATATTCACTCACACCTGGACCGAAAGCCCAGCCTCACAGACCTGGACACTGCTTCCATCCCAGAACTGTCCTCTCACAGAGGACTCTCACATGAAGACATCCCTCAGACTCAAAGTCACAAATGCACAAGCACGCAACGGCAGACACCAATGTTGCAGGTCTGGAAATGCAAGCTCAGAGCTGTGAACCCACATGCACAGACCACCCTACACGAACACCAGAGGATGCGATGACTCAGCCTTCCAGGCTGAGCAGGAACCTGCCCAGCAGATGAGCAGCCTTTGAGGGGAAGAGGCCCCAGGCCTAGGGCTCAGCCAGCCTCGGCCATCTATGGGGAAACCTCCTGGCCCCTGCTCCTCCAAGACCCTCTGCTCCACAGCCCCCCCTGACCTGTGTTCCCTCAGCTCTCCTGCTGCCTGGCACCCCCAGACTGCAGTCAAAGCCTGCTCTCCCAGACCCTCCCTCCACCTAGCTCTTCCCCACAGGCACGTGCCTGTCCCTCCCACTTCCCTCCAAGGCTTTTCAGCACCTCTGCTCTCATCACCTTGGGGCACCCCCCGCCCCCGTTTTGCCCCTGGCTCTCCCATCCCAAGGTCTTCCCCCTTATCCTCCCATCCGCCTCTCTCACCCGGCCTTCCCCCACTTCTCCCCCACTGCCCTCCTCTTCCTTCTCCCTCTGTGTCCTGCAGGCCCCGACCCTTACCCCAGTCTTGGAGCAGCAGCAGCAGCAGCCCCGGGCCCTGTCCCCACAGGTTTGGCCCCCTCAGTCCTAGGCTGCTCCCCAGGCAGCTCTGGTCTTCTGCCTTCAGCCTGGGGTCCCCTGGGCTGTGGGCATTCCCCACACAAGCACTTGAGGGAGCTCTGTATGGGGGCCCAGGGTCCAGAGGGCTGAAGTCTGGGGTAAAGGGTGGAGGCTGCTGTCTTCCCTGGAGCTGGGTCTCTCTCTGCTTTCAGCCTGAGCCCCCCACACCCCCAGCGTCCCCTCCTCCCAGGGCCAGGACCCAGACACTAAGACAGTTGGAGCAGAGATGAGGGGTGGGGTGGAGGCCAATGAGAGGAGGGCAAAGTTGGGGTCAAACCTGTCCCTTTCCCAGCCTCAGACCTACCTTACTCCTTCCCAAACATGGATTGAATGAGTGAAGTTTGCTGGTGGGGGAGGCCTCTGTTTCCCCTAAGCCCAACTCTGGGGATCCAGGGCCAGAACTGGGAGGCCCGGAGTCTGATATGGGCGTCCTGGGTAGGGGTGCAGAGCCCCCGCCCTCCTAGAGGAATCACTGTCCCAGGTGCTGAGCCAGGCCTGTAAGGGAACTCATCCATTAGTTCCGTCTTGGCCGCAGCAGCCCCCTCACCATTCACAGTGTCACTTTCCAAAGCTGTTCTCCCCACACTTGTTGGGACAACGGATTGGGGTCCTGGTGACGGGAGGCACTGGCAGGCGGGGGTGAGGACCCAGTCTCCACTGCCCAATCTGAAAGAGAAGAAAGCAACCTGGGCCCTCTCCTCTTGCCGGACTGACCATCTAAACAGGCAAGAAGGAGGGGGGGCGTTGCCTTTTCACCAGAGGAGAAGGCCCCAATTTTCAGACTTACTTGTTTCCGTAGGACCCCCTTCACCTAAACTGCATCCTCTGCCCTCCAAAAGCAACGGGCAGAACACAAGGCCACAAGCAGCCAGGCTTCTGGCCCCAGAAGCTCCAGCCTGTCTGGCCCCAGACCGAGTCCCCTGCCCCTTACTCTTTCTCCTTGGCGTTACCCAGCTCAGGCCGTGCCCCTCATCTCTTCGGCACAAGCGCCCATCGCTGGTCTTCTCTCCAACATGTTCAGCCTCCTGCCTGGCTCCCCGCCTCATGCAAAAGCGTTTTCAGAATCAACTCTCCCAACACTGCCTCTCCCGGCTCAACCTCCTCTTCCTCCGAGACCAGCAGTCCAGGGTGGGTGACTGAGCCTGAGCTACCCCTAAAAGAGACTGTGGGGAGAGAGCCTGCAGCTTCCCCCTGGGCCTTCCTCACCAGCCCTGCATCTCTCTGTCTTGGAGCCTCCAATTCAGGTTCTCACTCTTTCTCCGGAGGGGCTTACTGAATCAGCACAGCCTGGATGGGATCACAGGCCCTGAGGTGTCAGGAAGATGTGGCTCAAGTAACTGATAAATTGTATCCTTTGTAGGAGGCTTTACCTGGTGGTTTAGATGGTAAAGAATCTGCCTGCAATCCAGGAGACCCCTGGGTGGGGAAGATCCCCTTGGAGAAGAGAATAGCTATCCTCTCCAGTATTCTTGCCTGAGGAATCCCATGGACAGAGGAGCCTGGTGGGCTACAGTCCATGGGGTCACAAACAGTCAGAAAGGATTAAGTGACTAACACTTTTACTTTCCCTCTTGAACCTGTTTCATTGATAAAAATGGGGGTGGATGTGATAGAAACCGCCCCCCCCCCCCCATGACTGGAAGGATTAAGTGAGGCAAGGACTTAGGATAGTGTGTGGCCCAGATCAGTGTTTGCAGTCTTTGGTCTTGCCTCTCTATCCGGTTATCCTGCTGTCAAGACCTCGCTCCAGTACCTACTAACAGGATGTCTCCTTATCTCCTGTGTCTACCTTGTCACCTCTGAACTCACCACTGTGGCCCACAAGACAAAGAACCATCATCAATACAGAAGACCTGGGTTCAAGCACAAGCTCTGTCCTTCCCCCACCATCTCGCTTTGGGCTGGTATCCCTCACCTCTGAGATACCCCACCTGTCATGTGGGAGGAAGAGCAAGACCTGCTTGTCAGGGTTGTGATGATCAAATGAAAGGCTTTGCACTTTAAGGGCCCAGTTCCACTCCTCCTTTTTAAAAACAGTCTGGGGACTTCCCTGGTGGTCCAGTGGCTAAGACTCCGTGCTTCCGAGGCAGGAAGCCCAGGTTCCATCCCTCTCTAGGGGAACTAGATCCTACAGGCCACAGGTAAAAGTTTGCATGCCGCAACTGACGAAGACCCAGCACAAGCAGATAAATAATACACATTAAAAACATAAAAATAAAAGAGCAGCTTGAGAGGGTTTACAGAGCTTAAAGTCCGTCCATCTTAATCTGTACAATTCAATATCTTTAGTATATTTTACAGAGTTGCACAACCATCACCAGAATATATTTGAGAACATTTGCATCACTTCCAAAAGAAATAGTGCACCCATTAACATTCACTCCCATCCACCTCTCTCCCATGCCTCCCCTGCAGGCAACCACTCTACTTTCTGTCTTTGCTATTCAGGATATCTCTTATAAGTGGGCTCATACTACATATTTTTTTTGTGTGTGTATGGCTTATTTCACTTAGCATGATGTTTTCAAGTTTCCTTCATGTTGCAGACACATGTTAGTACTTCATTCCTTTTTATGGCTGAACACTCTTCCATTGTATGGCTCTACCACAGTTTGTTTATCCATTCACTAGATGACGGACGTTTGGATTGTTTCTCCTTCTGGGTATTATGAATAATGCTGCTGTGAACATTCATGTACAGTTTGTGAGAGACGTGTTTTCAGTTCTCACAGGTCCATGCCTAGGAATGGAATTTCTGGGTCATACGGTAACTCTGCATTTTGAGGACCTGTCAAGCTGTTTTCCAAAGTGGCTGCAGTCAGTGACATTCCAAGCACTTC